TTGTCAGAGGACTGATCAGTGATGGTACGATGAACTTGAAGAATATCTCAGGTGCAAAGAATCCAGCAGACATGTTCACCAAGTTTGTGACGCTGGATAAGCTGAAGTTCTGTATGACTTCAGCTGGCCTTCAGGAATAAWGTTGAGAAGGCAGGTGGCAACTAGGGGAGCTCAAGCTCGGTTGGTGTTTACATACGTTCAGAGGAGTGCAGGTGAACGTGTTTCGAAGCCTCCAAGTGGGAGATTGTTGGAATGTAGGCTTCGGCCTACTAAGTTAGACAAAAGGGAGGAGGCATAAAGTAAGGAGCCGGCCCTAGCCCAAAAGGAGCCGGACCTAGTCTCTACCCTAGTTTCCTTGATTAGGAGATAACCCTAATTATGTTTGTCTATATATATTAATCTCATTGTACTTGTAAACATTGTAGCACCTAAATAAAGAAAAACCTAGTTGAAGATTCGAATATTTCACTACCTCTTCCTACTCCACTTTTAGGAAAACCGAAAAAGAAAATAACTAAAATCTCATAAAATTGATTGCCAACTAATTTAGTTTATAAGTTAAAAAATGGAGAAATTTAAAAGCCTGAACTTAGGAAGTTAATTACAAAGGCTAAAGGTTCAATGGATTGTTAGGACAAACGTTACACACGCAATACGCACAACCCTAATCGAATTTATTCTTTTGAGTTGCATAAAACTCATGATGGATATGCAATAGAAAGATATATAACTAAAACCTCTTCCTAGTTTCCCCCATTCTACTTTTATTTGTTTCTCTAATATTTTATCCAACAAAAATTTTATATAATTTAACAGAATAAAATCAAATTCTGAATTTTGCAGAAGAGGGATGAAATTGAAACAGATGTGAGATGACAGAAGAGAAAGGTTTTAAACCCATGCTCACTACTGCTATTGCTACTAGTACAACCACAACTAGTAAGTGGAGATACACTAGGTCCTATGTAATAACCCAAGTTTCACTCTTAGATTAAATAGTTAATGTTAAGAGAGTAAAGTTGAGGACTGAAGTGTAGATACTGGACTTAAGGACTACGTATCTCCTCATTTCTCATTTCATTTGGCTGAAATCTCTCTAGAGGGTGTGTCTGTGCGATTTTGGGGAAGAAAGAGGGAAAAGGAGCAAATTCTAGAGAGTGAAGATCATGGGAAGAGATTTGAAGCTCCATCTCAGGTAAATATCCTCCTTCCCTTACTATGTTCATCCCTTTAATGATTTGATATTTGGGGGATTTAAGATTCAATATAATGATTGAATGATATGGATTAGAGAAATCCATTTCTTCATTGAGAGCTAGGTATTGGGGTTGGTTTCTATGATTAATTTCATTCCATAATCATTTTCCATGGTTATTGGATGAGATTTAGCCATGAGCCCTAAAGATTTGTGGATGATCCATTAATTTAGAGTTTTAATTTGAATCTAATGCTGGATTTGGAGAGAGGCTCGTTTGAAAGTTCTCTATCATTTTAGTGTGATTCTAGTCCCTGATTATTGCTGCAATATCTAGTTTGGTTTTGGATTTGGGTGCTGGAAATCGAGCAGGATTGTGCAGGCATCAGAAAGCTGTGCAGGTAGCGCCACAACTTTGGCCGCAGGCCAAGTCGTGTAAGTTATTGTTTCACCAACTTCGTCTTCTATTTTAGGGGTGGTTTGGAGTGGTATGTTGAGTCACCATCTTAGGGAGTTTAATAGTGATGTATTGGGAGTATAATTGAGGCTTTAACTTCTCGTTTGGATGACTCAATCTCAGGTGTTCGGTTGGTGTGGTTATAGCCTAAGTGTGTACTTCAAGACTTTGGATTCCGGGTGAGTTCCTCTCGTTATCTTTGACAACCATATGCTTACCAATTAAGTTGACATCATTATTGATTTTACTCTCTCCGTGTGCTTTGAATATCTGGAAAATGGTTTATGGTTATGTGTGAATTTTAGTGTGAATGTGTATATTGATGTTTTTAACTACGGGAAGTGTGTACCCGATCAAAGCACATGAATTCGTTTCATGTAGCTTATATAAAGATCACGTGTGAGCCTGAACAAATTGTCACAAGTGTGTATGACTACAAGTGTGTTTTACCGTTGCAACAGGTATGGGTGTTTATGCTTTGGGGTGTGTACAATACTATTACCATTTTAAGTCTTATATTGAAATGTTTCATCTACTCATTTGTTAGAGGGAATTCACTAGACCTTTGGTCTAACCCTCGCTTTTATAAAACTGAAAAACCTTTTCAGGAAAGTACCATGTTGAAAGCTCTAGCAAGAGCAAGGGAAAGGTGTGAGCTAGTTGATTGAAGTGAGGGAGCATTCTTCTAGTTAGATGATCGTCTAGAGACCTATTTCTAATTTTGTAATAGATCTCAGCAGTATTACTTTATTTCCACTGCAACTCTTGATATCTTGCTGAGTGGTTATACTTGATAGTATTTGTTTTTGCCGGTTTGGAAAAAGGTTATGAAATGTTCATTTTGAGTTTTCGGTTGTTACATCCTATTCCCCACTATTAAATCAATAAAGGGTGAATCTTCATTTTGTTTCAAGATTTGACCTTTGTTTGATGAATTGGTTGACTTGCAAAATATTGTGAAGGGAGAAAAAGTAAAAGGTTTTCTATTGGTTGACACAACATACTTGTGATACGAATGCATAGGCATTTGCACCTTCTAGTTCTACTACACAGCGCATTAACTTAGGCAAAAATCTTAAGTGGTGGCAATGGAGGCAGAGGTGGCATAATGTACAAGTGGCAATGCACAAAGTACACATCATACACACTGCATGGTCAGTTGTACTTCATAAAAGTAAGTTTCTAGTTATGTTTTTGGGTTTGGTAAATCAAACCCTAGAACTTTAAGCTAGTTGACATTCTCGGTGGGAAGAGGATTATACCGTGAGAGAAGCAAGGTGGTCAACCTCTTTCAAATATACAACATGGATTCTGGCAATGCAATGCTTCATTTCTTACAACAAAAAGTAAATCAAAACGTAAAATGGTCTTTTTGGCTAGATTTGGCCAAAATGAAGCCGATTGCCAAGTTTGCCGACCTTAAATAACATTGGTGGCCTCAATAGGTACTATTCCTTGGTTTGTATATGCTAAAACCTATGAAAAAGATCTTATGCTCACTATGATAAATTCCATCTGTGTACAATATTGGAGCTCTCTACAACATGCTTCTGGCTATGATCGTCGATCTCGAGTTAAATAGGAAGTACTAGAAGATTCCACTTCTAGAAAGTGCCTATACCTAATGGAGTAGCAGCTCAAGCTGCTGTTCCCATTTCCTTGTCAACCCGACATGCAAAAGGCAAGTTATTAGAGCAAGTGTACTTGACTAATGTACAACTTCAAAGCTCTAAGCTCCACTCCCTTGACTAATTGTTAGACATAATACTCATGTGCATAATACAAGTTCAAAAAATAATCTTTGCATTCTATTTAACATTTTGTTTTAAATATTTGCATATATGTATATTATCTAATATATATGTACTAGGTTCGACCGCGTGTATTACACCGGGTATTTTAAATGAGAAAAACTTGGACATTAACTCTGAACATTAACTCTAAAACACAAGAATTTAGAGTTCTATTGTTAAGCTGGAAAATAACTCTGGACTTAACTCTGAATAAGAGGAATTCAGAGTTGTCTTTTAAGTCTAGAAAGTATCTACGAGTATAACTCTGAGTCACAAGAATTCTGACTTCTTATAACTCAGAAACGTAACTCTGAACTTTAACCTTCAACTCTGAAGAGGAGTTCAGAGTTGTATTCTAAGTCTGGGAATAAACTACATAACTAAGTTTGGAACAGAACAATTCAGAGTTATGTTGTAAGTCTGAGAAATAACCAATATCTGATGACTTCATGTTGGCGATTTGTATCACTAATGTCATTTAAGTGTAATGTGATTAAATTGTTGACCAATGTAATCATGATAAATATCGAACATGTAAGGAAGGTGCGGAGTGCACACTTGTTTGAGTTTATTTTGATTTTGGAGCGAAGCCCCTAAACAACGGAGGTCCTGGGGCAGCGCCCCTGGTGGCGGGGTCCAAGGGGCGGCACCCCCTGGCTGGGGTCGTGCTAAAAATGCTTTGTGAAAAATGCTTCAAAAATCCGAACGGTTTTGATGACCACTCCAGAGTTAAATTCAGACTTACAACTTTGAATTTTCCCAGAGTCATGTTGTAAGTCTGGAGGCCACTTCAGAGTTAAATTCAGTTAAACCACGAAAACAGGAAAATAAACATGTAGAGGGGCAGATGTCACTTAAATAGACCTATTTGAACCGTAAGTGAAAATTGGGTCTAGATACATGTTTAGGCGGGAATAATCAATAACCGTCGCACAGAAATATGACACGTGTCCCCAAAGTTACATATTTATTAGGTATATATATATATATATATTGTTGGAGATATGCCTATAGACATAACAAAATAGTGATATAGTTAAATGCATGGGCCTATTGGGTTGCATACAAAGTTTTATCAATGTAAAAGCAAGAAATAATATTTAAGGGTGTAATGGGTAATTAATTAAAAGTGTTAATTAATTACTAGAGGAACTAATTGGTTATTAGTCTAAACCTATTTGGGCTTAATTAAGATTGGGCCTTAATCTAATATGGTTAGGTTTTAGTTGGATTGGGCCTTATAAAAGGATGCTTATCCCTAAACCCTAAACCTAATTCACCTTTGAGCTCCTCCTCTCCTCTCCTCTAGAAAACAGTGCCCACACCCTCTCCTCAAGGGTGTGGCCGAAAACGACAAAGCACACACATATTATCAATATAAAATGTGGTGCTTTTTCGGATTGCACGAGAAGAAAAAGGTGATTTCTTGTTGTTTACGAACGATTGAAGCTTTGGAGTGTGAACACGATAGAGAGGATCTTGCTATTGGGTTCTTCACTTCCATCTAAAAGGTATTTCCAATCACCCTCTATGTTTGTTTTATTACTTGTATCGGATTGCAACCAGATCTCTAGAAGGTGTGATTTTTGATTTTGTTTGCTTCCGCTGTTAATGTTTTTGGTTATCCAAAACTATCACAACACATATATGTAATGTAAAGCTTGTGTGAACTAGTAAAATCATGATGTATATATAAACAAACAACACACCTTGTCGGCCAAATCTTGATAATATTGTTCAATGTCATTCTGTGGGTAAATTACCCTTGAACTGCCACATCAAATGTAGAAAAATAAATACTTACACCAAATTCCACATCTCAAAAGTTTGAAGAACACAAAGTGTTAAGTGTGTGGCTCATCCTTACCCAGGCAATGGAAGGACAACGTCAGTAACTGTATAATTCCCCGAAAGAATGTCTTCATCATTAATGACCTGTAAACAAGCAAACAAAGATAATCATAAACTGCAAGCTCATTCCATAAGTATCTAGCCAACAAATCGAGCACAGACTTGTAGCATGTAACTGTGAGTTCCAGATTCAAGTATGATAACACAATCTAGAGTAGGAATATCAAGATCATAATGTGGAATAAATCCGTCGAATGTTTTATTGAGAGAGAAACAGATACACCATTAAGAACACACAGTTAAGCTAATGATCTATCAAAGCGTTAAACTAACAAAGTCAAAGTGAACTATTTATACCAGGGAAGGGAAGGGAAAGTCACAGGTTGACTTCTCAAGGTATTTACAAAATAAGCCCTATAAAACTTGAATACAACAATTAAGCCCAACAATAATGTTTAAAAATCCCTCCTAGGGCCCTTCAGTAGCCGTTTAATTTACATTTTCAACATGTTTTGGTGATTGACCTTTTCAGGATGTGATAAAGACTAGTGATTACCCACAAGGGTGGTGCCTGATTGGTTTGAGCTTGGCTCCAAAGGTCAAAAGTACCTGGAGGTCCCAAGTTCAAATCCAAGGAGGGATAAAAATCCCCTTGTGGCCACGGAGGTTCAAATGCGGTGACTCCGGGCTATCTGCAAAGCAGGTGGTCGCCCTGGGATTAGTCGGCTCGCATAGCGGGTTGGATATCCAAGTTAATCAAAAAAAAGGACTAGTTATTGTTCACAATCAGAACAGAAGTAGAACCCACCACAAGACGAGATATGTGCTGGCTAGGGTTAGGAGAGAGAAGATAGGTGACAGCCATGGTTTTCAAAGAAGAAATGAGAGGGTGGCTAGGGTTTAGAGATGAAGACGTCTGCTGGTTTTGGACGGCAGCCACTGATTAGGGTTCGTATCAAGAGCTAACCTGCTCTAATACCCTAGTAAAAGGATTTCTGAAAAGAGATCTTTGACACTAGGCAAAGGAAGAATGAACAGATAACAACCATGGTTCAAGGGCCAGAATTGAGAAAACCGTACTTATAAGATATACATGAAAGACAAAATTAATCGTGTTATTCTTACAGGGCCGTAACATTCTAGTGATTGAAGTGAAATTTTGACAGTTCCATAATTTTCAGGGACTTTTTCCCCTAGTACGGACTACCATGTAGAATTTCCATACAAGATTACACTGTTTCTAATGTTATGTCACTTAAGCGAGTAAAAGAAAAGTTGCTCAAAATCATTAAACTGTCAAAATGTCTATTTCACCCAAACAGAGTTTCTGCATTTGGTATAAGATGAGATCTGATATGATGCACAAAAAAGATGACTATTAACTGAACAGTTGACAGTCATCTTGATGCTAAGATGTTAAAACTGGGCCCCTGGTCTAGACATAATATTCCCTGACCTTTACTGAGCTACTACTTCCTTCAGATGAAAGTGGGTCAGCCTCGTCTAAATGGTTATTCTCAGATGAATCATTGTGCCCAATGTCTTCATAGTCAGAATCATGGACTTGCTTAATTTCGTTAGAACTTTCCTCATTGCAATAGACCAAATCCCCTACCACCACTTTGTCAGTCCCTGAAATAAGTATAATTAAGGAATTAGTGGGTAACCAACTGCAACAGAAACAAAACCCTAATATACAAGATGTTTCATACCATATTTCTGTACTCTCATGCTGGCAGCATGGTTCCACAGATAGCTTTGGTAACTGTGCACATACCTGAAAGAAACAAGAATCAATTCTATATTGACAAGAACAAATTGCTTGAATACTTAACACACCATCTACCTTCTCTACATGGCATCATCATAGGCAGTGTTCCATGAACCATTTTGCAAATATGCCTAATAAATCAAATTCGCTAGTCTATTTTCTCTCATATATAGAAAAATTGAAGAAGGCTACAATGGATTAGCACCAGTTCTGGATGATAGTTGGTGGCATTTTTAACCCTTCAGAATATTTTTATAATTCAATATGAGTTTCCATAATTCAAACAAAATGTAGTTGATGGCATGTTTCTAACTCCGCCTATGAATTCTTGTATGGCATGACCCAGTGGAGGGGGTGTATCTAGACCATATGAGGTAAAATTTGCATCTAGTTATTCCTATCATGCACTGCAACCAAATGTAGTCACTATGGCCAAGCAATATCAACATGTTCTTAGAAGCAAGCAATGATTGAAAGGAAGCTGATCTGAAGGAGTTGGATGCCGCTGGAAAGTGTATACAGGTTATATCAGTTTATGCTATGAGTTTTTCTTTTTCAGTTGTGTGTGTGTATTATATATTATTTACTCTCTCCCACATCAGGACCGTAGTGCTTTACAACACTTTTGGGCCAATTACTGGATGAGACTACGTCATTTATCGATTAGTTAGAGAGCCTTTTTTGAAAGCGTGTATTGTTTCTTTTTTGAAAGCGTGTATTGTTTCTTTACTATCGATTAGTTAGAGAGCCTTGCGATGGTTGAAAGGCATTTTCAAACCAAACTGAAATCTGTCCAAACCGACTGGGGAGGTGAGTTTCGGAATCTCTCCCAATTCTTCTCTCCTCTCGGCATCACCCATCGCTCTCATGTCCCCATACAAGCGAACAAAATGGCTTTGTTAAACGACGACATCGACATGTTGTTGAAACCGGTCTTACTTTACTTGCTCAATCCCATGTTCCACAACGGTTTTGGCATTTTTCTTTTGACACTACAGTCTATCTTATTAATCGAATGTCATCCAGAACCAACTCAAAACACCTCACCATTTGAACATGTGTTCAAGCACAAACCCAATTTTACCTTTCTTCGGGTTTTTGGATGCCAATGCTACCCTCATCTCTGTCCATACAATAAACATAAAATTGACTTCCGCTCTACATCTTGTGTGTTCCTTGGTTACAACACCGCTCATCATGGCTATCGGTGTTAAGACCCACAGTCTGATCGTCTTTACGTGGCCCGTCATGTTCGATTTAATGAACAATCATTTCCTTTCCAAACATCTTCTCCAACCACTCCAAATCCTTACGTCTCCACCTATCCCAAATCTGACCTCCCACCCACCTATTCATCCTCCACAGGACCTAATGAACATTCTGCTCCACCAGAACCGACACCCTCCACAACACCTACAGTGCAAACTGTCCCACAAGAAACAACACCTACCACCACCCCTCCTAATGACCACCCTACGGCCCAACCACCCCTTATCCACACTTATCACCGTCGTTCCATAATCACTGAACCACCACCGCAGCCTACACTACCCCCCCTCCTCTACCACCGAACAACCCACCCGTACTCGACCACCCAACCTACGCCCTAATCCTAAACAAACCAAACCTTACAATGCCTCCTCATACCATACCCATCATCCTTCACCTGAYACCGAACCGACCACCTTTACTATTGCTAACAGGTACCCTCAGTGGCGTACTGCCATGGCTGACGAGTATTCGGCGCTGATGCAGAATAGTACTTGGACATTAGTACCACGCGTTCCAAATTCCAACGTAGTTGATTGCAAGTGGGCATACAAATTAAAAAGAGACTAAACAGGGGCAATAGAACGTTACAAGGCACGACTAGTAGCCAAAGGGTTTCGGCAGCAACCAGACATTGATTATCAGGAGACGTTCAGTCCCATGGTCAAATCAACCACCGTACGTGTTGTTCTATCTCTGGCCGCAACACAGAAATGGTCCTTAAGGCAACTTGATGTGAAAAATGCCTTCCTACATGGTGATCTCAACGAGACAGTTTATTTGCAACAGCCACAAGGGTTCGTTGACCCGGACAAACTCGATCATGTTTGCCTACTTCACAAATCCTTATATGAATTAAAGCAGGCCCCTAGAGCATGGTTTCATCGATTTTCTACGGTCCTTCATTCTCTTCGCTTTCAGGGCTCCAAAACGGACCCTTCCTTGTTTATTTACTCCCACAGGGGTACCATTTTGTACATGCTAGTCTATGTTGATGACATTCTTTTGACAGGAAACAACCCGGAGGCTATTGACAAAGTGGTACGTCTTAGCCAATCTTTTGTTGTTCAAGATATGGGTCGCTTGTCTTATTTTCACGGTATTGAAGTAACCAGTCAGGGTCATGATATGATTCTATCACAATGAAAATACATCCTTGAACTCTTGCAACGCGCAGGCGTGTCTAATGCTAAACCGACTTCATCTCTTATGACCACTAATGCTAATCTTGCTCTTGGTGATAGCGTTATGTTTGTTGATCCGGATACCGCCAAATTGTGGGTGCCCTTCAGTATGTGATATTGTCTCGTCCGGATATTACTTTCGCGGTCAACAAAGTCTGCCAATTTATGCAGTCCCCACTGAAAATCATTGGACGGCAGTCAAATGAATTCTTCGTTAATTGCAGGGCACTGCTGACTATGGTTTACGAATCATGCATGATTCAGGCACAATCATTCATGCCTACACCGATTCTGCTTACAACTCCCTGACTGGCTTCTCCGATGCTGACTGGGCTGGTTGCCCTGACGACCATCGATCCACTGGGGGATATGCTATCTATCTTGGTTCAAACCTAGTATCATGGTCTGCACGAAAACAAAGGAMTGTCTCTCGGTCATCAACAGAGTCTGAATACAAGGCTCTAGCCGATACTGTTGCTAAGCTCACATGGCTCCAAACACTACTGCGCGAACTCCAGGTTCTGTGAAGTCGGTTCCTACCTTATGGTGTGATAATCTTGGTGCTACGCTTGGTTTTAAAAAGCGCAATGCGGTCCAATGCGTTAAGGGTCCCGGAAGCCGATGCGTGATGTGTGATGCGCCCGGTATTCAAAAAATATTTATAAATTAATTCTACATATCAATTTCTACCTTAAAAATACTTACCTATCAAAATAATTCATTTATAACATAAAGTAGTTAAAAAAGTGGCATTAGAATCTTAAAAGTTCGTGAATCGGAATAACAAAAGTACAGAACACACAAACTACTACCATGAAGAACACAATTACACAAGTAAATGTCTAATAGTCCCAATACCTAAACTAAATGACCAACCAAGTGACCAACTAATACTCCCCAACAGTCTCACGTTCTCTCACAGTGCTACTTCTACTTCTTCGTTGTCGGCTTCTTCTATTAGGTCGCTAACAGTCTCACGTTCTATTTTACTTAACTAAGAAGCCCAACTAAAAACTGAAAAAGGGAGCCCAAAAACGCAACATACATGATGCGCTGATGCATAAGTGATGCACGCATCGTGTGATGCGTAGGTGATGCGATCGCATCATGGAATCGCAACGCATCAGACCCTTTGATGCGTTTTCTTCAGCGCATCGCGCATCACAACGCATAATGCGCGCATTTTTAAACCAAGGTGCTACGTATCTTTCAGCTAATCCTGTCTTTCATGCCCGTACCAAGCATGTAGAAGTTGACTTTCACTTTGTTCGAGAAATGGTTGCGCAACGGAAGCTTTCAGTTCAGTTTATATCTACACATGATCAGATTGCAGACGTGTTCACCAAGCCGCTACCTTCACAACGGTTTCTCCTATTACGGTCCAAGCTACAGGTCGCTCCCCGGCCTTAGCTTGCAGGGGAATATTAGACAATTAAGTGTGATATATATATATATATATATATATATATATAACTATATTAGAGGATCTAGAGTGTAAATGTATCTCTTATATATATCCCTGATTGTAATCGATATACAATACACACAATTACCAAGTTTATCTCACCTAGATGTGTGATTTAGAGCTTGAAAATATATCCTTGTGGATAGCTATGTCCGAAGGTTGTACATGCATCAACACATATGCCCATATGCCCTACTTCCTTTAAAAGATCCAAGCAAATTTTGCATAAAAGATGCAAGTATAAAGAAAAAAAATTAATACCACATAACTACAAAATAGAACGGTTTTCAGCACCTAAAAGAGCATACTTATATGCTATCTAGTAATTTCGATGGTGGTAACAAAAATAGTACTTACATCATTCTAAGGGTCCTAGGTACAGCTTTCAGAGCTTGCAAGTAGTTCCCTGGACACTTTTTCAAACACTGCAACTGATACCAAAGTTAAAACAGAAGTTAATACAAATGCATGAAATGATAGTTGCCAAGCTATACAAACAGTCTGATTAAAACGACAGGAAGAAAGAAATAAAAATCCATAAAGAAAAATGAAAAAGGAAAAGAACTCAATTACAAGTCTTGGTTCTCTTTCCATTACAGCATTTCTTCTATGAAAAGATGAAAATTGGTTACCAATGAGTTACATGATGAATATTATTTGAATTAATTTTGAAGAAAGTTTATTAAGTATAAAGTATAAAAAGATAATTTTATATTGGCCTATTCTGCTTATTCGATTTAATCAAATACCCGTAAAAAAATAATTGAACCAAACCAAGTATAGTTAACGAAATTGTTTAACCTGAAAACCCAATAACCAAAATTTTGTGGTTTATTAGGATAACAATTGGCCGATCCTCCGTAGATATTGTTTTCTTTTCCAATCCTAAAATTTGAGATGAAGTTCGAAAAGCATATCTTCTAAAAGGGTTTTGCCAACCTCGAAATCATGAAGTTTCACTCTTTCATGTATTTTTTTTACAATCCTTTCATCAATATAATATCTTTGCATATATGCATAATATTTACATAATTAAATTAGGCTCACCCTCACTTGACTTTCTGGCTCCGTCCCTGATAGCAGGCCATTACAGCTTGTCTGTAGTCATATTGATATTCCATACATGTCCTTCTAATCTTGATAATACTTAATAGAAGGGTGTTAATATTAATTTTGACATTTATAGTGTTGTGGTCATGCTTTAAGTCATGCAGCATATATGCTTGATCTGTAGCAATAACATGGGAATCAACAAATCGTAGTTGTCATGAGTATTTGGTAGTGTCATTACGTAGAATACCCTAAGGCTGAAATTGATTTTTTTAGTCCGAGAATGCCTCATAATTCTACATAATATTTTCAAGGAAAGTATATGAACTTCATTGTTTAGAAAATACTTATTGGTAATTAATGTATGAAAGGGAATCAACAAGAAATATATGAATGAAAAGGTTTGCAACTTACTATGGCCCTTTCAGCTACAAGATAACGAGGTAATTGTCTCAAGGTCTCGTCAATATCTTCACTTTCCTTGTAATAATCCCGAATCCTCCTTATGTCATCCTTTTGTGTCCAAAAACTTATATTAAGGAAAACAAATAATCATGAGGTTTCTTTCTCAATATCATTGCTATAAATTGACAATGCATATTGCAAGCACAATTGTCAGAAATCAAAGGATATCACCATCCCTTGGATCAAGAATAACGCTGACTGCGGCTTTCCATTCTCCTCGAAGTAGTTTAGAACCAATAAGGTGAGTAGGCACAGAACCAGTGCCAAATCGCTGTTTCATAATCCATAGAATCAATCATCTTTTTTCTAAACCAGATACAATAAATGGATTTGCATAACAAGTTAAAAAGGGCAAACCCACATGACTCGCTAATTGAAATATTCACTAACTGGCCAAGATGGTAAAACTAGGAAAACCATGTCTTCATAATTAAAAGCTCTATGGCATGGTGATTCAACTCCACCTATTCTCAACTTAGTAATTTTGTCAAACTGTTTTTACAAATCAAGTGATTCTACTCAATTCAAAATCGATGAAATATCTGACATGGCAAACAAAGATGTTGTAAGTAAAAAAAATAACTAGAGTTAGGTCGTTAAACAATATTATCATTACACATATACATATGTATACATAGACACACAGGTTGTATATGTAAACACAGAGACCATAAGTGTATATGTACAGAAATTACTCCCTCCCACAACTGCATTGTGGTTGATACGTACACGTATAAAGTAGTGACGCTACTTCCTTCTGTTTACTATTTCATGGTTTAATCAATCACTATGCTTGGCATCCTCATGGACTCTTGGAAAAATCAGATATATCCCTCATTTTCACTGAATAAAACACCAATTTGGCCAAGATTCCGCCATCTTAAACCGAGCTGTAGATTTTCTAATTTCTTAGAATAGTTGTTACAGTGCGATTCAACTGAGTAATTGGCAAAGGGAAACTTGGTATTATGTTAATTTTCAGTGATCATTGCATTGCAACACGGTGAAGTGAGGAAGACAACAAATAACTGAAGCAGGTGCAAGCAGGTGCAGTAGGAAAAGTTTTGGGTATTCTTTTTTTCGATATGCTTATAGCCCTTCAAGTTACACTTTAACAATTGGCCTCTATTCTTTGACAAGTCGGCATTTACATCAAATTTTGGAGAAACCTTGACGTTGACATAGTGAGTGGTAAAATATAGTTTTGCACAATTGCTCAATCGTAAAAATTTCAAGTTCAGTCACCAAACTGGTACAACAACAAAGCTCAAATACCAAAAGTTGAGTTTTCCCGCAATGAGTTTCTTTGTTTAAGGATTTCTGGTTGTCATGAGACTTGTGGACCTTGCATATATGCTAAAGCGCACAAATATATAGCACATTTCCAATGGCAACAGTCCAATGATGTTCCAATGCTTCCCTAAAGATTTGAGTTCATTTATTGTGATAAATGTAGCAACAACTTACCATAGTTCATACAAGTAGGCCTTCTAGAGGAATTCAAGAAAATTCAAAGGAAAAGTAATTAACTGTAGAGTTGAGGATATACTGTAGAGCTGAGGCTATATCCATCGCATCGTACAGAGAATAAAAGAATGTTACAGGAAAGGGTGCTCTGGTGTTGAGCGCAATGGTACCTGCATGCCAAAATAGTTTATGAAGCCATGCTTTCCTAAAGCATCTGCAGCTGCTTTTACAGTATCCTCCGAATCTGCAACCACCCCCCTACAGAAACGTATACACATATGCAGAATAAGGGATAAGATAATGAAAGTAAGAAACAAAGAGTATGTCGCATTTTACGCACCAACAAACAACCACAATTCCATATGGTGTATTGCCTTCCAAAATAAAATAAAAAAGTGAATTTAACTATCATAAATGAATCTTATGCAGTCACGCTCAAACCTCAATGTGATTGTGAATCGGTTTCCATGGAGCTGACCAAGAAGAAGCCCTTCATTAACATAACTACATACAACATAGTGACAACATCCAGCATCCATGTGTTACCGTAAAGATTGATCATAGATGCTAAGAGTTTTTAAACTTAGTGCACTTACCAAAAGTCACCGATTTTAATTCCAATCAATCTTTTATTTAGACTAGCCACTTTATTTGCACGCTGTTTGAATACAGTGACCTGCAACGTTAAGTATGCCAAAATTGTACGACATCATTGAGAGAGGAAGAGTAATATGTTCCAATATTTTTACCAAAGATACACCTATATCCTATAAAATCTCAAACATAGATCCTTAAGACACATACCACTGATGTACGACACACTACAGTTTACGACTAACAGTATCACAAGTGCACAGACAAAAAGGGCAGTAGAAAAAACAGCTAAGGAATAACTAAATGTGCCTAATAATAAGCTAAAGTGATAATGCCTCCATAGCAAAGGATTTGAAAATTCAAGTGTATCCTTTTTACTTGGGAGTAAATCATCACTATAATGTGGTACTGGATTGGATTAGAAGCAAGTCATAATTCCCATCTATGAGATTATTGCCATCTGCCAAAAAAAAACATCTCTCGAATTCCACTCTGTTAGCATGCTTTGTGCCAGTTGCCAACAGTCAGGAACATTTTATATTCTACAAGCTTAATTAATGTGTATTGAAAGAATATACGAAAGACCATCATGCCACCTACAGGTGTTATTCATTGACAGCAAAAAAGGCTGCACCGGTGATGTTAACATGCCATTTTGCCCATAATCTAAAAAATGCTGAAGTCAGATTACCTATATTTGTTGGACCAGTGAACCATATTCCTGTTTCTGAGATGACTAATGTCTGCAAAAACCATCTACATAAACCACTCTACTGGTTGTCAAAGTTTACTAACATCGTATGCTAGTGCCAACATAAGCATGGTATTGGATCAGCAATGAGCAATACTTCCATTGGTCTATAAGCATAACTAATGTTTGTGAAGAACATATAAGGTAAGCCATAGTGGTCTTGCCAAAGATGTTCTCTCGTTGACAGTTGTGAACATTTGGCTTAGGAAAGAACATAGAATTACTGAAGTAAGGCCCCTCAATATATCAGTGTTAAGTAAAGTAGACAGGCTTGTGGAGTCGACAAAGACATTGCCAGTGGCAGTTCCGACAACGTAGTTGCACTTATACACCAAATGGCAGTCAACCTCTATACTAGGTATCGCGGTGAAAGATTCATTATTTTTTATTTGAATGATTAATATATTTTCACAATGTAATATGAAAAGCTTTAGAGGACGCACGTCACTCACAATAGACATGCCAAGACACATTATTTATGACTTTGCACTAGAGTAAGAAGAGAGTTGTCAATGCTTGTTTCTTCTTCTCAAGTGTACATTGACACCATCACACCAACAATGTAGAGTAGCCTATGCTCTATAATAGACCTACTTGTACTCTAATACTTGTTAAAAATGACATTTATTAAGAATACTCATGTAGCGTCTTCAGGAACAAGTTTATGGCACCCTGTACCCCAAGTATTTTCTTCCAAAATGCATTCAACTCCCACATGGGATTTATATTGGCATGGATGCTGAAGTGTTGCTGGAAGATTCTTAAAATATAGTATCTCTATACGGCAATCTTCCCCATGTTGCATGTAGGTCAGATGATCATCTTCTGAAAAACCAAGTATTGATGAGATAAAATGTCAATGCTTCCTTGGTAAGTAACGCCTCTCCTTGAAGAATAGACAAAGTGATAGATAATTACCATGACTGAGAATTCTTCTTTCTAGTTGGCAAGTAGCAGGTAGCTTCATGCATGATTAGCTCGAGAAGAAGTGTAACATAGGCAATATAATGTTGGATGGGATGTTTAGTTAGAATGATGAGTGTCCTTGCGCATGGAAATAGGTGGAACAAGAAAATCGCCAACAAAATGTGGTTAAGGAGTAGAGTAAGGAACAAGAAGGAAGCACCAATGCTTGAGCAAAGTTGTTAAATGCTCAAGGCGCACTTAGACGCAACCTGGGGCTTAGAAGCGAGGTGTCGGCCTCAGGAATGCAATGTGCATCTTATCAATATAGATATATATACACACACACAGAGTTACACACAACTCAAATATGCAGCCACAAGCCTCCAATGCAGAAACAAACAGTACTTCGTAGAGGTGGAAGAGAGAAAAGTTTAAAGCGTGAGCCGTGAAGGATTAGTTGTAAGGTATAGGTATTCATAGAGGAGGCTTGAAGTTCTAAGGATTTGGTATTTAATATTAGGGTTTGACGTATGTCATATATTTAAAACTCTTTTTCTAAGAAGCCAGCAGATGAGAAGATAAGAAAGCTTGTTTAATATTAGGATTTGACTAGGTATTTAGTAACTCTTTATTGAGGTGTGCCTAGGCCCACAAGTCGCCTCAGCCAAGAGCTCAAGACGCAGTGCCTTAGTGAGCCTTGTGAATACGCTGAGCCTCGACTTTAAAAAGGCCCAAGACCTTGAGCCTCAGAGCTTAGGCGCGCCTCAGGCGCACTTTTAACAACTATATGCTTGAGTGCTTCAGCTAAGGATGTCGTATCCACAATGGGTGTGAATTGAGTGCAGGTGGTTGAGTTGGGAAGGCCATGCACAGGTGGGTACACATTTATTGTAATCAACAAATCACTTGGAGAAAATGGTGTCACGCCTGTGAAGCTAGGATGTAGCGCAACTGGTTTATATGGAGGCTTTGGCTCTCTTTTTTATCATTTAAACTATTGTTTGAAGGCTCAAACATCTCCATATCCAGAAAGGAAAAGACTTCAAATTCTTGGACATCCTATATCTATGGTAATATAAACATAAATATTTATGCTCCTACTATCTAAGCAATAGAATGCTCTGCTTTCTACTTCTCTCCAACATACTCATCTTTATTTTCTTATTCTTATGTACTTATCTCATCAGCTTCTCTTTTTGCATGCCTCCTTTCTTTGTTGTTTCTTTTTTAGCTTTTCTCAATATTTAGAAGCCTAAAGCTTATGTGTTTGTAGGCTGAACCTAATAGAGTTTGATCAACAAGTACTTTAAGGATTATGTAGTTATTGGTTTAATTACTTTGATAATTTTTATTTATTAGAAATGTTTTTCATCTAAAGATATTTGTGTAAACAAATGTGACTCACACTTACCCAAATCAGGCAAATCTTTTAGTCTGTTCCACGATGTTTTACACACACCTCATACCAAAGAAATGTTTTGACCCATGCACCCATTGGCCAATACAGATGCAGTGATGCACCTGTTCTCATGCTTCCTTAAGTACCAGGTTAGGTAGCATAGGCTAAGTAAGGAACTATCATAGGTGAAAGGAATAGAGGACTCACCAAAGTCATGACCATGTGGTATCAAGAATAAGAGTTGCAGAATATGTATATTGTCAAGTGTGTACACCTGTGATAAGAAGTGAAGATATAGCTAAAGGGATATCCTGGTACATATCTGAAAGGACTTTCATGCTAATCCATAACAAAGACATCAAGCGCTACACTGAAAGACACAATGATACTACTAACATTAAAAGAAAAATAAAAATTGTTACTCACTTAAATGGACATCAACTGAAGTGAACACGCCTTAAGAACACAATGATCATACAACAAACAATGTAGTGAAAGCAGAGTGCTACCTCGGTACTATTGCATGCTTTATCTTGTATAATTATTTCTGAAAGAATTTATGAGATGTACAGATACTTTGGTGATCTGTTATTGTCATGGTGACGGTGTTTTTTTTTACTTTTAGAGGAATGCAGGGATCAACTCATTCCTTTTCTCTTGGATGAAGTTGTTTGGATGTCTTCCTTTTGGATCCTGGTAACAGTAACTTCACTTTTCTGGGAATTGCAGGATGAATTTGCAGATTGCTGTTCGGTCTTCCGTTTCTTCGTTCAAGGAAAACATATCCTCATTATGAGTAACCTTATCCTTCTTGACCTACTACACCTTAATCTAGAGGCCCAACTAGAGAAAACAATCACATTAATCCCATGAAAGATGAAGAAAATAGGTTCAGTAGGAGATAAACTAGGAGAACTTCATTGGGTCTACAATGCACAATGTAGAAACTGCTTTGTTTACAGCAATGTTAAATTGGTGATAAAGAAATTGTTGGAAGCGCAAGATAAAATTCAAAAATTAACAAGTCAAAAATAGTTAAGATATTATTGTTGGAGGTTGAACTACAAGTCTGGCTAAGGACAACAATTAATAAATGAATACATATAACCAGCCAGGGTATATGGCACCATGGATTAGCTAAGTTAACTTGAATTATCATACACACAATGTATATAATGTGGGATGTAAGACGCATCTGATCATTCTAGTTTCATATAATGCTAATAAATATTTTCATTACTTCTATGAAAGAAGTATAAGCTATCAATTGTTTTTGCATATTCGAATCCTTAAAGAGCTCTATGAGATCATATCATAAGATCTGAACAAAAAGAAAAAAGGGAAAATATTGTATCACAATTTATGTCATCATTAAGGTCTGTAAATAGCAAAAGTAAATTAAAACTATAAACTAGTGAATTTGAAGCTCAAGATGCATAGAAATATATTGAGTTAAGATAAACAGCTCAACAAGACCTAATGTGAAAGTTAATTACTGACCAATAATTCATCACTCACTCATAATTGGCTTGCATGTTTGTGTATGCATGTACGTATATTAACATAGATTATGCGACAAGTACCCAGCAGAAAATATAGTTACCCTTTGAGTTGTTACTGCACGTTTATCTTTCGTACCAGAAAATCCAAATGACCTTGGCTGTAAAAGAAAATATTAATAGCTGCAAGTGTTCACTACAACAGATGGATCCTATAGAAACCTAAAAAAGAGAAAATAAGTACTCCCTCTGTCCCAGAAAAATTGTGAAAATTGCAACTTGTCACTTGGCACAAAGTTTAGAAATTGTTTGACAACCTTCGGTAAAAATCAAATAGAGGAACTTTAAATAATGTTTATGATGGGCAAACAACCATTTTAACATGAAAAGTTGAAATTTTACAATTTTCATGGGACATCCTAAAAGAGGCAAGTGTTGCAACTTATATGGGATGAAAGGACTAATATATGGTGATGGTAGATAAAAACCCCCAAGAAGCTGATTGTTTAAAAAGGTATATGGAAAAACTATTGTTTTCCTCCAATTCCATTGGATTACCCTAAAATGGTGTATGAGCATTATGTTAACAATAACCACCTGAATGCCAAGCATCTTTCCAATCACCCCTAATGCCTCTTGTGTATCCTTGTTTTCCTTGCAAAGATGGAACCTGAATATGAATATTGGAAAACATTTACAAATGTTAAAGAGATAAATGAGACCCGGTTGATGCTTATTTTATTTAAAATAAAGAAAGCTTCATGCAGAAATCAGATTCATTTCAAATATCAACTTGCTACGAGCCCAATAGGTGTCAAATAATTATACATATTTAACAGATAGCAGATATTACATGAATGGAGGTGTGTGCAGAATGGAGGGTTTGCTGAACAACATTTTTAAACTCTTTTTTCTAAGCACAGTTTAAAGATGGACATCATTTTCCCATTACCTAAGGAACTTTCCAAGATGCTCGGGCCAATGATCTGAACCTCGACTGTCATAAGGGGTCTCGCCTCTGCCTTTCCGCTTCTTAGAACCTTGGCCTCTGCCATTATCCTCTCCTGAATTCAGTCTTACGCGGATGCATTTTGACGAGGGATCAGGTCCATCTACTGTGTCGGTAACCAAGAACTTGAGTCTTTCTTTGAAAAAGTTATGTACTGCCTGGAGGGTGGAAATAGTTAACAAAATACACTTGCTATTAAATGATAAATATGCAGATACACATCAGGCACATTTATAGTTCCTCGAAGGAAAGATTGAGAAAAGAAATTTCTACCGTGCGGTGGACTTTATCAGAACTTGGAGAAAGAACAATGGATGTAGCTCCATCTTCAACATCTGAATTAATTTTATCTATAAATTCCTTCAGAGAGTTGGCATCAGAGTCACCAACTAGATCTCTAAACAATTCGATTTCAGCACCCTGATCACCTTTCAGTTGATCTGGCATCTTCGTTTTATGTTCCTCTGTTGGCTGATTCATTAAAAACATTCATTATCAAAACACAATGCAAATGAGAATACAAATAACGGTATGTTAGATGATAAAAGACACTAAAAGACCTCTGCTGGCGCATCTAAGGAGGTCAAATGAACAACATTTCCATCCAAATCTACTTCATTGACTACAAAGTCACAATACCTGTAGACATGAAAGATATCAAAAGCATAAAATTCCGTTTAGTTACCAAATAGAAGTTCTAAAAATTATATCAAGAACAAATTCTACAGCCTGAATAAGCAGCTGAACAAAATTTTAAGCAGTTCAGATAATCCAGTTGAATTAGTAAAACACATGAGCACAAGCACTAANAATTCTACAGCCTGAATAAGCAGCTGAACAAAATTTTAAGCAGTTCAGATAATCCAGTTGAATTAGTAAAACACATGAGCACAAGCACTAATGATTCTTTACAAATTTAAGAGTGTTGTAGCCAACAGGCTTGCTCAAGTGGTAAAAAAATGCTAATCTCAATTCACACACTTAGAAAGGGTGCAACAATGGGCCGAAAGTAGAAGTTCCAACCCCTGATTGTTCCCATGTGTTTCGAGAAAAACATAGAGTAATGCAGCATACCCTCCTTTCCCCACGTCCGGAATCGACTTTTGAAAGTCGAATAAAACTATTTCCAATGTCAAAATTGATACGAAAGGAACGTTATGGTTGAAGAAAAAAATGTCACAACCACATTAAACCACAAAAAAAACCGTTAACACTAGAGCACTTTGAAGTTACAAAACTAAAAATGTCTGGTTCAATTTTGGTTTCTAAAGAACCAGGTTTTGACCTACAAAATCAAAGTGCATACTCTTCATTTAAATTGAGGGAGTATCTGTCGTAAACACTAATGTAATTATCACAATATAAAATTATCATCAACCTTACGGCTTTAAACTACCCTTTAACCTTAGAGATCAAAGCGTAAAAGAAATCACCATCTTCTGCGTTTTAGATTACACAATAAAGAGAAAGACCTCCAGACGATGGAAAGTTATACGAACTCAAATGCTGCATGAAATGAAAGAGAAAGATGAGACCTTTGCTTGAGAATGCCTCGAAAACCAGGGAGAGGGGATATGTAGAAGGAGATCCCGACGTCGGATTCTTCGAGGGGGGAATTCATGGCTGCTGATTGTGATTGATTGAAGCAGTAGGGTTTTAGAAGCAATGGTTGTTGGAAGGAGGAGGGTTTTAGTTGCCGCTGACAAAGAGTGGGGAAGGCAGCATAGAGAGTAAGCAATCCCATGTTTCTATGGAACATGCTACTACAACCCCAAATTGGTAAGAGGGCTTTCCATTTTTTATTATAATTTACAAGATAATTTTTTAAAGAGGTTTTTTTGGGATAGTTTATTTGAAATAATTTATGTTTTTTATAAAAACATTTATTAATTTATTATAAGTTATAAGGGTTTAACTTTTTCAAAAACTTCTTATTATCTGTTTGACACCGGTATAAGTTGTTTATCCAAACATTCAAAAATGTTTATTACCGGTATCACACAGGAATAAGCCAATAAATTATTTTTATAAGCAATCTCAAACACCCGGTAAGTAGTGTTATACTCATTTCCTTGGCATACAACATGACTTTAAATAAATTCTAAACGTTTCTCAAACAGAAATAAAGGCAAACCATATAATAGAGTTAATTATTTACGGAGTCTGGACTGGGCCTAACTTGTTTTTTTGTCCAACGGATATATTGTAAATCCAAACCCCTTTTTTTGGACTTGACAACTTGTCATTGCCCCGTCCCTTAAAGGGGTTGGGGTTGCCCATGGGCTAGCTTGCCTACAAAGTGTAACTCTTATAAACTTGATCACTAGCAATTAATTCACAAATTTGTAACCAAAAAGTAAAGGAAAAACACTGTTGCAATTAAAATTTTAAGCAACTAAAAAGTGACACATGGATCTCAACAAATAGAGAAAGAAATGAAAAACAAAATTCAAACTTCCATAAAATCAATAATGCATTCCTATTTTTTATGTATAACATTAATATTCACATTAAGAGGTAAACAAACAACCCTTAGACTTTTGAGTTCTCAACAATAACCAAAAAGTCACATTATATAACTTTAATAATTTAATTTTAAAATATAGTAGTATAATTTTAGTTAATGGAAAAAAATATTAATTGTATAATTTTAGTTAATGGAAAAAAATATTAATTATAAAATATAAACAGACTGGACGGGTCTATCTATATATATTTTTATATTGACCATGTTCGTCCGTTAATTTTAACGAATAAACTCGAGTTCGTCCATTTTCTCGATAATGATTGTCCAAGCCCGTATTTCTAGTGGGCCGAATGGACTGGGTCTAATGGGTCGTCCCGCCTATGAACAGCTCTACAGTAAAACTGTTGGCAAGTCTAGACAAACATGTGCACTCAAATGGCTTCGTACTTTTGGCTAAACTCTTCAAATTCACATGGAGAAACTATGCACGAACAACTACTATAAATAAAATCTTGACTGCAATTGTAATGATTTTTTAAACCTGAAAAACAAAATTTGGTTAAAACCTTGTATGTGCAAAGTGTTCAAATATATACCAAAAGTTTGTCGTGATTCATGAAAAGTTTGTACAGTAGCTTTTACTTTTAAAAATTCTTTATTGATAAAGATGATCAATACATAATTTTACAGATTGTTTACGAAAAAGATAAGATATAGAACTTATCTAATCAATCAAAAGAAACACACAAGTTACAGAAAACAATAAAGAAAAGATTTGCTAAAAGAAAATGTTAAGAGGACTTGTACTTGGGAAGAAGCCTTTCTCTTAGGTAGAGAGTTGATTTTCAAGAAGTAAGAATTCTTGGCAATAGATTGCTTCTTCTGGTCGAAGGTGGTGGTAATTGAGAAGGAAGAGCTTCTCAGCTATTTATACATGTTGCATTAAGTGCAAGTCAGACTGTACAAAGCACGTGACAGGCTTGTAGAGGTGAGCTTGTCCTTTGTTGCAGATATATACAAGCTTTTGACCGTATATGAACATTAGTCTTTCACAAAGTAGGTAAGCATGTTTGGAGACAATAGAGTGACTTTGTGCAGTACTTTACTTTGAGAGATATGGGTTTGTTCTTTGTGTGTAGAAGGACAAAATAAAAATTGATCTTGTCCAACAAGATTCATTTGATAGCTGACACTGGAATAACGTTGAGGTTTCTTTAGTGTTCGCTGAATCTTGAGTAGATTTCACACTTGTATAGACAGACTCGTTATCATTGAGAATCGCATCGGATCATGAAGTTGTTTGTCTCTGTCTTCAGCTTTATCTTCGATATCACTAAAGGTTTTCTGGTGTGAGTTTTGTCTTCGTGAAGAATACTTGTCTCTGAGAGAATTACAGTACATGTTCAGCGATCACTGAACAGACTCAGTGATGATCGTTGAAGCCGAATAAAGAGATAATACACTTCGTAAGATAAAAAGGATCATCATCAAATCACTAAGAGAGAGAGAGAGAGAGGATCAACAATTTCCCCCTATTAGATGATGACAAAGCAACATAAAGAAAATAGCTTCGGTATTGCAATAAGGAAAATATATTAGTAAAATACTTGTCTCTTTTAACTATTTTGGGATCTCTTCCAGTGATACGCTTACTATGGAAATTTACTTTAATTGTAAAGGATTACAAGGAAAGAATAAACTTACATAATATTAATAATTGAATACTGAGAGCATATTCACTGACTAGAAAGGTGTCAGCAAATGTAAGAAATAAATGGAACTCATAAGTACATGTCTCATTTACTCTTTTTGGGGATCTTTTTCAGTGAACCAATCATTTGGCTGAGTGCCTCAAGAATTAGGGTAAGGTTTTATTTGACGACTCATTTTCCTTTGCCAGAGGAGTACTGGTGTAATGATCTCTCCCCCTGGGAAGCAGGTTCCCTGAAAGAGATTCCTTTGACAGGGCCTTGGAATGATTTGAATGTAGAAATCATCATCATCGTCGTTGTCATCATCATTGCCACCAAGGTCAACACCTGCGTCTAGGATCTGAGGCTTAGAGTCCTCATCATCATCATATTCATCACCAACATTTGGAAATTCAGAGGTGTAAGGGTCAGTAGCAGTAGTAACCACGACATCATCATCATCGATAGCTTTAGGGATATTCTCCCTGGCATCCTCAATAGCTGTATTCTTCTCCATAAGGTCCTTGTTAGACTTATCCCCTTTTTTTGTCATCATTAACATTAATAGCTGAGAGAGGGAGGCGAGAAACCATGTCTTGCAGTTTCTGCTCGACGGAAGCAATTGCTTCGGCTTAATGAAGGTTGAATTCAGCGACCTTATCCAGCTATTGATGATCAGCTTCTTTGAAGGTGCTTGATAAGTGTTAATTTATTAACCTTATTACATTATTTTCTTAACCCTTTTCACTTGTTTTATTTTCCCATTAGTGTCGTAAGTGAGTCTTTTTATGTCATCTTTATATAATAGCAGTAGTATATCATATCTAATGTTAATTCCCTGTTTATGCAGATTTTTGATGATTTTTGGGCCAAGTCCTGCAGCAGTCCTGTAGGAGCATGTTGGCAGAATCCTATAGCACCAGTATGTGAGTTGCACCTTTTGTCTGGGCCGAATTTCCTTGGGCTGCCCCTTTGAAGCTGCTGGATCTAAGGCCTTGGGCCTGGTCAAAGCCCATTTTTGAAGACCCCTTTTGTCTCATTAGAAGACCCCCTTGTGCAAGCTTCCTTTCCCTATAAATAGGTGCTTAAGGCATGGTTTTACACACTTTTACACACAACCTTTGTGTTAAAAACAATTACTCTTTATATTATTGTTTTTGGTTTTATTGCTTTCGGTTTTCTTGCTTCCAACCAAGAACCGAATTTGTTGAAGTGAAGTTGTGATTACATTCTCAAGTTTTTAATTCAAGTGCTCTTATTTAATCTTCATCTCATTTCTGCTCTTACTTTCAAGTTACAAACGTTCTATGATTTTCGTTACAAGTTATAATTAATTGATTTCTGTTGTTTTACATTGGATTTCATCCTTTGTGGCTCTCGATTAATTTTCGTAGACTAAATAATCTGTTTTCAAGTGTTTTCAAGTAACTCTTCGTTTTTAGTAGCGAAACTTGTCTTGCAAGTTTCGTAACTTGGAGTGTAAGTTTCTACAAGTCTTCTCTTCTTTTCATGCTTTCAATTGTCACATCTTAGTAATCAAATGTTTACTTTATGTCTTAGAATAATTTTAATTATTAATATTTATCTCTTAGTAGTTTAATTTCAGTCTTTTATATTTCAGTCTTTTAATTTCTGCACTATACTCTACCACAATTTACTTTTCTGCATTTTAATTTCCAGTAATTTACTTTCAGTCATTTATATTTCTGTATTTACTTTTCTATAATTTAATTTCCAGTACTTTACATTTCAGTATTTTAATTTCTTGTAATTTAATTTCTACAATTTACTTTTCCGTATTAGTTATTTATCTTTCAGTCTTTACATCCTTCGAGAGAAGAAACCAAACAATGATGGGCTAAACGCCATAGCTTGGGGTGTAAGGGAAAATTAAGACCAAAGCCGATGTGAAAGTACAAAGATGTCTTATTAGCATTATAGTCTACTATTTGTTTCAGGTGATTAATATTTCATTGAAGATTACATTAAAATTAATTGACAACTGATTTTGTGTATGAAAATGTATTGACTTTCAGAGTTAAGATAAATAATTAAACCTGAGGTAATAGGAGAAGGCTATAAATAGCTTTAGTATCTGACAAGTACTATACTCCTACGGTGTAGAATGGTAACACTGTGTTGTTCTAGGATTCGCGACAACATAAATGATATCGTATCGATAGCACGTTGACCGGTGTGTACTCTTGGGAGGACGTCTGACCCGATATTTGATACTGTGACAGTTATATAAAATCATTTATTGATTTTAGATAATTGTGACAGAAATGATATGTCACCTTTTTGCTGAATCATTTGTTTAGTGACTTGATCAATCTTTGCACCATGTGCTTCTTTTTACGACTGATATTTTTGTAGTTGCTAATCAAACCTCCCAATTTTAGATAAAACAAATCCCTCGTTTCTCCATCTGAAATTAGTTTTTATAGACTGGACTTTTGAAGAACTTTGGAAAACTATCTCTGTGGGAACGATATCGGGTACTTTACCATTATTGCTTGTTACGAGACGATATTAGTTCAAGGTGTATACTTGCGTCGAGTTCTATTTTTGTGTTGAA